CTAACATTTAACATAGAGTTAAAGAGGAGTTATTTTAAAGTAACTCTTGGAGAGAATATCCCCAGATAGAAAACAAGAGAACTGATGGGGATTGGTGGCTCTTGCCGAAACCTAGGTATTCCCTGCCTTACCCCCTGGTAAACCTTACCATCTTTCTCCACCAATAAACAAACTTTGTTTTTATAAAAAAAACAGCAATAATGGGATTAAGCCAGACTGTTTTGCAACAATACCATACTACGGTATCCCGAAAAAAATGCCAACACTGTTTTGTTTAAAAAATATCTGAAATCGGAGTCCAAGTATAAGGGGTATACACCGAATTCAAGTATTTTTTACATTTAAGACATATTTTTCATATTAACTTTCATACTACCAGAAGGTGGACCGGCATAACCCATATTTTGTACATATGCGTATAAATGTAACCCAAAGGCCTATATTAAATTTCAAAGCTCTATATTCAATTTTGCGAAGAATAGAGAGTCCTGTTGGAATGTCCAAGGTCTGCGGCCAAAATGTTTACGTTCTCGGTTGAGTTCTAGTGGCCAACTGAAGGTGCACATTTTCACCTGACCTCTTTGGCAAGTAAACAGGTTCAGTTTGTTCGTTTACAATCTGCTGGACAACGAATGTTTTCTCATCGGAGACAACCAAATTCGGCAGTTAACCACTTTCGGCCAAGCGAAGCTACTCTTTAGGTCTTTTGAGTCTATTTTCTTTCTGATGCGGTGTAAGTTCTTGCACTTTTTGGAATTTCAATGGCTTTACCCCGAGCTTATTTTTCAATATTTGCGGAATGGAATATTGCGATATGTTCAGCTCACGAGCCATTTTTCCGCCACTGCGACACAGGTTTCGATCAAGTCGCTTATTTACTTTTCGAACCATTTCTGCTGATGTTGCGTTTTCCTCCGTCCCCTTTCTTAACGTCGGGCTACTACCACGGTAACAAGCGATGGCGCGGGACACAAAAGATTTACTCACATTTAAATGCTGGAGTGCCCTAACGATAGCCACTTGTTTTTTTTTTTTTTTTTTTTTTTTTTTTTGGAAAATTCTCACAAAAATTTTTGTATGCTTATAAACAATATAATGAGCTGTCACTGGAATAATTTTAACAGCTGTTGAGTGACCGTCGAATGGCTTAGAAATGACAGCAGCCTGAAGTTGGTTGTAGTTTCTTCATCTCACTCTGTAGTTTTTGGGCCATGAAATCTAATACTAGCCTCTGCCCCATACATTAGAGTCCAGAACAGTGTAAATCTCACTGAGAGACATCTTCGTTATATTAATATTTTGTGTCTATAATCGTACCAAATTGCAGCTTTTATTGCAAAAAACTTCTGAAACGTAGGGGTATTTATTTCTATTTTATGTCATTGGATTTAGCATAAATTTTAAAATTAGTACCTTTTATTCGCAGTGAGTTTGATTTATCCAATTTATTTCGGTATTTAGTTTTTCTATTGACCATAGGCGAAAATCCTTTGTTATATAGGTATGGGGTAATAAAGATGAGGTAAACTTTGATAGCTACATCCAAAAGAAGCGAAGACATTTCCCAACACTCGAGAGCCAGAATTTCGTTTATTGTTTGCGATTGAAAGTATTTTTCAGTGGTGTACCTTTTGATATGTCAATAGGTTCCTCACTTGCTTTTGTTGACTTTTTACTTGGTAGTTGGCCCAGAAATGAATTACGTATTCAATTCGACTTTTCGAACTTTTTTCATTTCTTCCCCTAAATTGGTGCCCAATTTATTTTTTAACAATGATAACTGTGTGGCAATTGCGGAAAGAACGTTCATCCTTGCTTGCACCCACTGGTGAGTCGCGACCCATACTCAGGGAAATGCAGTTTCAGTCAATATCGAAACTAATATGTTAAAATCATTTCAGGGTACACTCATACAGTTTTTTATATATCTAACCATCTTTTATACTCTTATAATAAAAAACAATTGAAGACTCGTCTCATTTAATAAAAAATTGAGGTGATTAAACATATCTTAAACTTAAATCACATACAAACATAATATATACATATGAATGTCGATGCATGTTTTATATATGAACATACGTGCGATATATATGTTTGTGTACACATTACCCCATAGATATTGGCAATTGACACTTGAAGTATTTACGACTACCAACATCATTGTCAATAATATCAGCAATAGCGTCAGTATCATCACCACCATTGTTGGAATACACATTGGTCACATTGTTGATGTTGCTGCCGCTGCTAGTGGCACACGACAGTCGCTTGTTGTGTCATTGTTGATGAGTGTAGCTCATGCTGCCGCCGACGCCGCTGCTGCCGACTGTCTTGGCACTGCATATCATTAATTGAATAGGAAATTAATGTTGTTGTTGAAACAGTCAACCCAACCAGCCAGCCATCACCACCAGCACCACAGATATGTTGTATAGCCTTTTATTGCGCTGATTCCAACGCCAATGTTAAATGAATGTGTGTGATGTGTGTGTTCGCATGTTCAAATGAATTTAATGAAATCCCAGCTTCATTTATTGTTTTGAAAGCACTTCATTTTCACACGAGTGTCAGAGATTCATGTGGCGGCGGCGGTACAGGCATCCTCATTTGCGATATGATGTATCAATATAACGTTGCCAGTTCTCTCTCCCTGCACCCCCTCCTCCAACATTTGCAAGTCATGCTATTATAATTATTATGAAGGAGATTTTGCAAAATAAAAATTGTTCAAGTATTCAATTACAAGCCTTGCTTTTTTGTGAACATAGCCTCTCAATGCTTGCCTGCCTCTGGATTATCATAATTTGAAGGATAGATTTGGAATGAATTATTTATGAATTCCTTGGGGTTGTAATGTGATTTGCAAAGCAATTAATATGTCATTATATAAACAACATATATCAAATGTTGTAGGGCCATTGAATTGGCATCGAATTGTTGAGAATTTGATGATTACACATCTCTCTAAGTGGATGTATTAATTGTAGAAACGTTTTTTTTTTAATTATAATATTACAAATACGCTGTAGTTTCTTATTTCAGAGCATATTATGATTTAATGATATAATTCAGAAAAAATTGAAATTTTAAAAACAATTTCTGGTCTTCTCCTATCAGAAGGCCTTGTGGTCTCTTATGAGAAGACCTTTCCAACTTGTCTTTTCTGAGAAAGCCAACTTGTCTTCTATGAGGAGACATTGTGGTCTTCTATGAAACGACCTCATGGTCTTCTATGAGAAGACAAGTTGGTCTGATGTAAGAAGACCGTCTGGTCTTCTATTAGAAGACTTGCTTGTCTTCTATGAGAAGACCTGCTTGTCTTCTATAAGAAGACCAACTTTTTTTCTATGAAAAGAGCTGTGGTCTTCTATTTGGAGACATTCTGGTTTCTTTTGAAGATCTTCTGTCCTTCTGTGAGAAGACCCTTCTTGTCTTCTATGAGAAAATTCTTCATGTCTTCTATGAGAAAACCTGCTAGTCTTCTATGCGAAGACCTGCTACTCTTCTATAAGAAGAGCAACATGTTTTCTATGAAAAGATCTGTGGTCTTCTATTTGAAGACCTTCTGGTTTCTCTTGAAGACCTTCTGGCCTTCTGTGAGAAAATTCTTCCGGTCTTTTATAAGAAGACGTGTCAGTCTTCTATGAGAAGACCCCCAGTCTTCTATGAGAAGACCTCCCAGTCTTCTATGAGAAGACCTTCCAGCCTTCTATGGAAGACCTTCTGGCCTTCTATGGGAAGACGTCCCAGGCTTCTATGTGAAGACCTCCCAGTCTTCTGTGACAAGACCTCCCAGCCTTCAATGAGAAGACCTCGCAGTCTTCTATGAGAAGACTTTCCAGCCTTCTATGAAAAGAACTTCTTTTCTTCTATAAGAAGACCCTCTTGTCTTCTGTGAAAAGGCCCTTTGGTCTTCTGTGAGTAGACGCTCTGGTCTTATATGAGAAGATCCTCCAGTCGTACCTTATCGTATGGTCTTCTGTGAGAAGACCCTCTGGTCTTCTATGACAAGACCCTCTGGTCATCTGCGAGGAGAGCCTCTGGACTTTTATGAGAAAACCCTCGGGTCTTCTTCGAGAATATCCTCTGGTCTTCTATGAGAAGACCATTTGGCTTTATATGAGAAGACCATCTGGTCCTCTATGAGAAGACCCTCTGGACTTCTGCGAGAAGAACTTCTAATCTTTTATGAGAAGACCTTTCGGTCTCCTTTGAGAGGATTCTTTTGTGTTTTATGAGAAGACCCTCAGGTCTTCATTGTGAAGATCGTACCTTCCATGGTCTTCTATGAGGAGACCTTCGGGTTTTCCAGGAGAAAACCTTCAGTCTTCTATAAGAAACCCTTCCACCCTTTTTTACGAACACCTTGTGGACTTCGCCCCCTATTAGAAGTCATTTTCGTCTTCTATGAAATACCTTTCGCATAGTTTGACACTTTGTTTTTCTATGAAAAGACATTCTGGTCTTCCATGAGATGGCTAATTGGTCTTCTTTGAGCAGTCCGCTGGCCTTCTAAAAATAGACGAACTCGTCTACTAGAAGAGTTTTTCATGCTACTTTATTCTACTTTCTACTTTATTTCCGATCTTTTATGGGAAGGCCCTCGTGCCTTCTTTGATAAGTTCTTCTATGGGAAGACTTAAAGGTCTTAAATAGAAATCCATTTAATCTTATATGAGGAGAGCCTTTGGTCCTCCCTAAGAAAATATTTTTCTGCCAAAAAACAAAAAAACTTAACCAGTATTTAATTTAACCTGTGTCTATACTACATTTAAAATTCAACTGACCTGATGCTTTGTAGCCTATTTTTAGGCTTGTTGAAATTTTTCATTACCACCCGCCAGGTGCATGCCTTTTTGGGAAGTGAAACAGAGAGATTAAAGGCTTGTAACACTACATTCATGATTTTGCCATATCAAGTCCCTGTTTTTTCCTTCTTCCTATTCCTTTATCTGTATTCATGTTTTTTTTTCTTCTGCTTCTTCTTCTCCTTACAGCTGTGCCCCATGTCATTCATCTTGTGCCACATGCAATGGGTCCGCCGAATCACAATGCATCACTTGTCGTTCCGGCCGCTTTGCCCACGATGGTAAATGTTTGAATAGCTGCCCCGATGGTTACTATGCCGATAAAAAACGTCAAGAATGTGTTGCCTGTCCGACGGGCTGTGCCACATGTACCACCAATGGTTTTTGTCTTACATGCCAAGACAACTGGACGCGCAATAAAAAAGGAAAATGTATTATCACTGGCAGTGAAAATTGCGATGAATGTGAGTATGAATTTGAATTTTTGCGCAAAACTGTGCGTGTGTGTGTGAGTGTGTTGAGAAATGGAACGATGCGAGAACATGCATACATGTGAAACGAGCATAATAGCGAAGTTGTGGGTGATGGGGTGTTACTGTCTATTTTGAGATATATATTTTTTTCTTGTAGTGCTGACCATCACCACCACCACCACTGCACAAAAACGGCCTCCGAATTTATGTTCACAAATGTGCGTGTACCCAAAGTCTATACATTTCTTGTTTGTCCTCTAGGTGTCAGGATATCGTAGTTTGAGGTTTCCTTTTGTGATTTATGGAGAGTGATTGTTTACCATTTCTTGTTTTTTTTTTTTTTTGCTCTTGTTTCGGTAAATGGACTTTTTATTATGATGAAGTGGCAAGCGGCGAGGAAGAAAAAAAAACATAGCCATGCCAGCGGGCGATATGGCACATAAAATTGCCTGGAGAGTTCATTGGTATATCAAAAGACATATAAATGGACTTGCCATTTTGTTGGTAAAACGGTGTGGCCAGCACTTGTATCATAATAAACAAAATGTACTTTAAATTTTATAATACAAACATTATAATTAGGTAGCTCGCAATGTCCAGAAAATATGCAATAAAAATTATAATAGAAAACAATTTCTCTGACCATTATAGCATACCCCCGGGGTTTTGTGTTCTGTTGGTTGTTATTTTTCCCACCGCATTTTTTATGGGTGAAAGATATTTCATGTAAATATAAAATGTCTAATTGCACAGCCCCCTTAACATATGTTAGGCTAATCAAGGTCTTTAATCTCCTCAAAATAACCAATGTAATTTCGAATGAAACAAATTAATCTTCTTAAATTTGATTTTAATCAAGAAAAACACATTGTAAGCAAATACGGACAAAGTAGCCATAAATTTCCCTCGTAACTTTGTCAATCCTTACGACATTTTACAATTTGCTACAAATAGGCCAGACCAGCCCAAATTACGCCATTTGCTATACATTGGTTTTTAGAGTTGCTAACAAAAAACCTACGCCTCGATTGCAACCTTTGGTCATTAAAAATGCCATAAAAGCTAACAATTTGGCCACAAGAAATGAAAACAGGATATAATAAATTTACATCATAGCAATTTGAGGTAGGTCTTGTGAGGAAAGCAAAGAGTTGAGGGTAATGCAAATTTTGTTCAAGGGAGATACCTACAGCTAATTAGGGCAAACAGTAATGGAGGGACAATGATTGGTACCATCGATAGTATTAATATTTTATTCCAAAATTAAAATATATTAAAATTTTTTGGAATCGAAGATGATAGTGTACCTTTTTAAAAAAAGATATGAAAAATTTCGACTAAACATTAAAAACTTTCATAAAAAATATTTTATTTTTAATCCTTTTAATGCATCCTTGTCAAAAAAAAAAAAATTAGCAGGTCCCGAGCAACGTTAAATTCGGACGAAGCGAACTTTATTTTCCATTTCCTCCATCATGTAAAAATTATATGTATGGTGCTATGCCTCTCTATATTGAATATTTTTGGAGAGAGTATCCACTCGGAACCCAAACTATGAAATTGCACCTGATTTGGTAGTAGGGCCAAAATACCGAAAATCTGAAAGGGCACCATTTGAAAATTGTTTAAAAGAAATAAATTGACCATTGAGAATTTCACATTACTGGCGATGGGTCTACTCATGGTATTCCGTATTTTGAAAGATTAGATCATTGAATATTATTAACGAGGTCTATAAATATCCACTGAAAAACCTCAGTATCAAATCACAGTTGATTTCAAACTCTCAAGAACCGAAAATCAGGAGGAACAGTCAAATGGGGGGCTATACAAAAAAGTCGACCTACATTCAATATTTTATGGCTGGGTTTCCAACTACTCAAGGAAAAACCGAATTACACCTCATATAGTTGAAAATAGGGCTGAAGAATTCCAAATCCTGAAAATCAGAATATGCAATTATTTGGATATACAGTTATATTCTGGCCATGCCAGAAAGGAATATTTTTTGCGATGTGTTATTTTTGTTGTAACAATACACAGGTTTTGTTTGAATGCTGATTCTACGGCATTAACTCCAGGTTTTAAAATTAGGCCACTTTCGTGGGCTTTTACCACAAATCTTCTGGGATGAGTGGGGGTAGGATTGGCAGGGCAATTAAAGAGGTGCAAAGTATTGTGCGGGCGTGTATCGCACGCAGGGTCGTCGTTTCTCACATCTTTGTCAATTCGTTTCCAATCTGAATTGAGATGATTGCACCATTCTGGACGTAATTGTGCCAAAACTACCCTGGTTTGTATAGGTAGCCGACGTTCTTCAGCTGCAATAGTGACTCCTAGGACAGTATTCATGCTGTAGTTGTTGATGGCATATGGAACTCAGCCCTGCCTGATAAGATAGGACCTAGAGGCTCTCTCTTATAGCATTGGACCTCCCTCATTACATCATGAATGTCCTTCCTGACACGCCTGGGTGGGCGTGTTTTATCCACCACACAAAGGTTTGGATGATTCCCACTATACTACAACGAAAGCATATATTTATGCTGACGTATGGGTGGCGTCTTCGCCGCCTCATGTAGATAGCAACAGGTGTCATGAGGAGGCTCCCTGTCGCAGTTCCCTGGGCTGCATTCTGCAAAATCTGGATATTCTTCCACTATGTAACATAGCTGACCACAGACCGACTTATCGCGTTATAATGGGTAAGCTGCCAAATTCTGCCGGCTAGCATCCTGAGGACGTAGTTCCCACTTTTCATTTTGTCACAGACATCTGTAGCTTGCGCGGACGACTTGAACATGCCGTCGAATGTGACCCTTAGTATCTTAGTTTAATTGGTGGTCGGAGTTCAATTTACCTCGACCTGCACATTCTGATGTATCCTCATCTTCGCAGGCCGTTGGTTTATTTAGTGGATACTTTCATATTCCCTGCTTGGATGTAGGCGATAAGCTCCGCAAGATAGGTGCTGATCCTTATACATTTGGTATTAACAATAGGACCCGACGCCATGAAAGTTCAATCATCCACATGGCTTATGGTCTCTATGCCGTCTGTATGGCTTGGTATTCCTAAAAGGGAGAGATTTCAAATTTCATCTCGCCAAATCAAAAAGTACAATTATATGGGAGCTATATCGAAAAGTGGAGCTACGCCTAATATTTATTTGAGCGATTCGCTCCCGCTCAAATTTTTAAGACAGGAGTGGCTCGAGAGCTCTTCCACATAAAAACAAAAGAGTAAATTCCATCTAAAACTCCCACTCTTCGAGCTAACCCGTTCGTGAGCAAGTTTTACTACTGATTGAAAACTCTTAATTTTATTGCCCATTTTGGCATAATTTTAATTATAAAATATGTAGCATACTTTTAGGGGATAAGTAAACATATGCCTCATTAATATTTCACAACACTGTGCGGCACAAAAAATGATTACAAGGAAGACCGAGTAAATTATGAAAATAGAGCTGAAAATATGGGACACATGTTCTCCATTTTCCTTTTTTTCAAAAACGTTCAGAAACTCCATTAAGATGTCATCGTATTAGATTGAATATTCTCCAAAATTGTGATAAAATTTTACATAAGTCTCAGATTACACCAAAACTTATCTAAAAGTCGAAAAAAATACGATAAAGGGTAGCATGTGGTAAGTCTCGCCCGAGCTTTGGCCATTCCTTGCTGTTAATTGCCTATTTGTAGGCTTATGGTAATTATAAAATTTGTATCATATGCTTAGGAGTGAAATGTATATTTTTTCCGTTTTCTAGGAAAACAAAAACGTCCTAATATCAGGAACTCATTTCAACTGAACAAATTACCCCTCTTAAAAATTCCAATTCAACTTAATATACAAAGCAATTATCCATTGACATTTTCCGCACTCACGCTTCTTGCTATGCAAATATATGATTTTGAAATGCCCTTTAATTTGCCTTTCATTAATATGACATTCTCTTTCCCTCTCTCTCTCTCGTTCTCTCTTTTGTGTATAATTTCAGCTGAATATTACGATAACAACCATTGTCATCCGTGCCATAGTACTTGCGAGACATGTGATGGGCCCACCGAATCGAATTGCTTAAGTTGTCCCCAGAGTCTACTGCTGCAGAATAATCACTGTGTGAGCACTTGCGACGATGGCTACTACATGGAGGCCGGCGTGTGTGCAAAATGTTTGCATACCTGTACCCAATGTGTGTCACGAATGAATTGTACGGCATGTGCCAAAGGATTACAGCTACAAAGTGGCGAATGCCGCACCACCTGTGCTGATGGGTAATTATACAAAATATGAATTGCATTTTAAGTTTCTCTTCGCCATCCAACAACCAACTATCCGGTGCACGGGACAGGACATAATAATAGTAGACGAACAAATATGCAGACACACACACACATACACGCTACATGGGTGTGTGTGAGTGTTGCTGTTCATGAACTTTCATGAAATGGAAATGTTTCCTTGTCATTGCAATATTGGCAAAGCAATAAAAATGGTGTGACACATAATTATAATTTGTTTCTGAAATGAATAGCTGTGGACGGGTGCGGTAGTGCTGTGGACACCAATGTGAATGTGTGTGTGTGGATTTATGAAAGGAACAGTGTTGCCATTCTAGTAGGAAAATAAGTAGATTTTAGTTAATTGAAGAATGACTTATTGGTCCATCAACAGCCAAAAGTATTGACAAAAAATAGAATCCTAAAATTTTACGTATGAATTACTTTTGACACGTAGACATGAATGGACTGGGTTTGGTAGATATTAGGGCGGAGGTACTTAAACTATGTTTTTATACCCTCATCCATATGGGCATAGAGGGTATATATCATTTGATACGGCCAAATTCTGCCTCATCGAAATAACAGTTTTAGACCCCAGGTCTCCTTGGACCACATCCGTTTCAGGACATTTGGAGTCGATCTAGCGATGTCTGTCCGTCTGTCTCTCGCTAATCGGATATTCTAGCTCTCGAAGGGAGTATCCGATTTGGTCCATACCTAATAGTAATAATATTATCAAATTTAGTTCGGAGATGGGCAATATCGGTTTACTCTTTCTGGTAGCATTCCGAAACAGGTCGACACTTAAAAAAATACTGCACTGAAAGAGAAAGAACAATCCAATTTTGTTCCAACTTTGCAAATCCTAATATTTCCACTAGTGCTAGACAACATCGGTCCACTTCATCAAGTACCTCCCCCACAAAGGGTCAACATTTTGAATAATTATAACACTTGCAACATGTGATGTAAGAGTCCGATTGTCTTCAAACTACATACATCACAATACTTTAATTAAGCAAAACGTCCACCCTTCTGGTACCTCCCCCACAAAAACGTCAAAATTTTGAAAAGTCTTCGTACATTTCTATGCTTTCATCAACACAAGATATGTTAGGTAGAGGCGGGACCATTCCTTCCGGTACCTCCCCCACAAAGGGTCAAAGTTTTGAATAGCCAAAACGGTCATAAAATCCGAAATAAGCATCCGGTTCCATCAATATTTTACACATCCCATTATTTTTATTAACACAAGATCTGCTGAGAAGATGGGATATACCGGTCCACTGCTTCTGTTACCTCCCTCACAGAGGGCAAAATTTTTGAATATCCATGAAGCTCATAAACCGCGAAATTAACATCCGATTCCATTTAGGCTTGGTACATCTCAATATTTTTATATGCCCAAGATCTGTTATAAAGATTGTAGAGATCGTACCATTTCTTATGGTACCTCCTTCACATAGGGTTCCAGATTTTGAAAAACAAAACGCTCAAAGAAGGCGAAATAAGCACCCAACCCTCTTCAAATTTCACACATACAAACATTTTGCCTAACAAAAGATCTGTTGTGAAGATGTTATATATCTGCGAACCACTTTCTGGTACCTCATCCACAAAGGGTCATAATGTCGGAAATAGCATCAAATTTTAGATTAAGTTTAGATTTGTTCGAATTGCTCACCTTTGGCACGAAGTACGAATGTTGCTCTGTGGCCCATTCCCGGCGAAGCGTTGCTTGAGGTGATCGATACTTTGGTATTTTTTAGTGCCAACCTTGCTTTCCAAAATACTCCAGACACAATATCCGAAGATTTTGGTGGCCATTGTGCGCTGGAAATGAAGCGAGGAACCTCATTTTCTTAGTTTGAAGCAGTTTTTTCATTTCACCCTGTATATCGGCAAAACCGACTGATACTTTTTAACTTCTTGGTACCAGAATACGGTACCAATAAATTTCATATTCCAGGATACTAAAATTGGCAACACTGATAAGTTTATAAATAATATTTTCAATTATGTCTTTATGTATTTGTTTGACAGTGCTTTAAATTTCAGGTGGCACTTGGCCATGGATAATGGCCACTATTAGTTTTATTAGCATAATTTGGTCTTGTTTTATTGGGAGGTCTGGAAAAGGAAGCCAGGAAAAACAAAGTAAAAACTGTTCCCACAATCCTACCATCCTCATCATTTGCAAAATATTTGTGTATGACAATTCATTTCATATTTTTTTTTTTTTGGGGGGTTACAATTTCTGCATAACCGAATGAGTGTCGGAAAAGGATGAACTTTTTTTTTTGTTATAAAAATCTCAAAAAAAAACTCAACTTTTTGTTTTGTTTTCTTTTCGGAACTTCTATTGTTAACGTTGTTTTTTTTTTTTACTGGTTATTCTTTATACCCTCATACTATTGTTTTTACCGTTACAGCTATTACAGTGACCGTGGCACTTGTGCCAAGTGTTATCTCAGTTGTCATACCTGCAGCGGACCACGACGTGATCAATGCGTACAATGTCCCAGTGGCTGGCAGTTGGCGGGCGGTGAATGTCATCCCGAATGTCCTGAAGGTTTCTACAAGTCAGAGTTTGGCTGTCAGAAGTGTCATCATTATTGTAAAACTTGTAACGGTAAGTTATGGTGTTAGCTACATACATATATATATATATAGAGAGAGACTACGAGGAAAATGTTATGGGTGTGCGTGTGGTTCTTGCAATTTATTGCAGTTTGAATGTTGGCAAGAAAAAAATTAGCTCGGTGTCAGTTTTTGAGGACCTTTTGTGATTATTTTTGTTTGTGAGTGTTTGACGGCCACTTTATCGCCCAAAGGTGAAATTCTGTCAATAACTTTTAAAAGGTGTGAATTGACGACATTTAAAGGGAAGTTTATGGTGTTCTGTAGGTTAAATAAGTTCAATGACTGGGTAATGGTTATTCACAGAAAAGTCAATATTGTATTTTATGATGATTATTTAATGATTTTTAGATTTAAATTTTTAACAAAACCTTATCTAATTCGTAGATGACTGTTAAGGAAAATTTAAGCATTTTACCAAAATACGTCATTTATTTAATTTATAATCATAGAATTAACAATTTAAATAACGCCTTTAATTTAAACATTTTCAGTATAAAAAATACTAACCTTTTCAACGTTAGACTATGAACAATAAAATATAATTTAAGGTCTCCGGATTTTTTCTATTTGGTTAAAATTCGTCGTTCTCAACACAAATTCGACTAAAATCGATTTTGATTTGGGCCTCAGACTTGTTCGACTTTACTCGCGAGTGGTAATATTCCGAAGAGGGAGTACGAGTTTAACAAGCAGTTTACTATTTAAGAGTAAAATCGAGGGGGAGAGATTATTTCGGGAGCTGATTTTTGTGTGTTTTGCTGTGTTTTGATGTTTTGCTGTGGACGAGCTGAGCGTGGAGCGGGAGGTGTTCAATATCATGCACAAAAGCTGAGAAGGGGAAAATAAAAGAAGCAGGGTATTCCAAGAGACTGATTAATTTTGTGACAAAAAAAGCAACCGAGTAATCAGTTGTTGGTTGTAAAAATACACATGAGTACTCGGAAAGATTTTTAGAGGATTTTACTCTAAAATGGTCAGAGCCTACTCGAGTTACGTAGGAAAACTGAGTATACTCAAATTCTTTTTTTTTCGCTCGCAAGAGTACTCCATCTCGAATTAGACCGAATATCACTCTATTCTAATTCCATTGAGAATTTTGATTCTCTGGTTTTATGCCCTTTGGAAGATATATTCAATTGAATACAAAATCATCGAATGGGTGGATGAGCAACAACAATAATGAGGTGCTTGGACCCGTGATCCAAGTTAAATGCGAAGGAGAATCAAGGAAGCGTTTTCGGAAGGTCAGAAGAATAATGCCAATGATTTAGCTCAGCTAAAGCTGAGTTTCTTGCCTACCTTAAGACATATATAAACGAGACGTCTAACTGTAAGAAAGACAATTCGAGGATGTTTGTACAGTATAATAGCGTGATCCATCTATCCATGTAGTATACCGTGTTTATCACAGGGAAATATGGCCTCGGTGTATGGGGAGAGGGTAAGACTACTTCCAGGAACATTATTTCCAGGTTTGAATATCCAGTCATTTCATCCACTTATTGGCAAAACCTCCGCGTTTAGAAGTTTTCCATAGAATCTGACGATTTAGGAGTAGAAAATCGCGGCAGTAGAAGGATATGAGACAGTAATAAGTAGTCATCCTATCGGTTATAAGCTTTTTGTAGCAAGGCTACATTGAAAGTATATTGACGCATCAGTTCAGGGTAGATCTTCTGGTTACATGCGACTGCGGGTCAAATACTATACTTTGTCATATTTCCGGTTTTTAGGGGATAGCGCACACACGATGTAGATGGAGATTGGCTTAGATCTTCTAGCTGGCAGATGGTGATGTTAGCGATACACGGCTAACTAATGAAAAGAAGACTAAGCGAATATATCGACATTCGCTTCAGCATAAGAGAAACACGTAGACATTTCACGACGTCTGAAGCATATACCGAGATTTGGAAAGCTGCTATGATGGAATTAGAGATTTAACAAATATTGGATCAGCGTATAAAGAGTATAATTTTTATGCCTAAAATTGAAGGAATGAAAGTGGAGGGCCACATCAACAAGGCGGCACCACATGTTAGACAGCCAGAGCAACAATTCAATTACTGCATCAGTCATTCCCGGTCGTGTTATTCCGCATTTTATAGACCAGAATTGGCAGCCTAGATCCTGCGATTAAACACCTATAGATTTGTATACCCTACACTACATAGTGGTAAGAGTATTATGTCTTTGTGCATTTGTTTGTAACATGGAGAGGGAAGCGAGATACACCCACAGTTAATTTTGAGGATCTTCCGTCCATGTCCGTCCGTCCATGTATTCTTGTGAACAAAATGCCGGTCGCATTTATTATCCGATTGAGATGAAATTTTCCAAACAATATTTTTTTTGGCCCAAGGACAAACCCTATTGAAATTGGGGAGAGTCGATTAATAAAGCTCCCATATTTATCTTCAACCGATTTTGGGTTAATTGTACTCTAAATGACCAATACCAGACCAAAGAACCTGAATTTTGGCACATCCGACCTAATTCAGTCTAGAAACAAGTTCATCAAATTTGGTGAAAATCGGTTCAGATATAGCTTTTACTCCCATGTATATGTATGTTTCATCCGATTTGGTATTTAAGACCCTCACATTCATAATACGCACCCCACAAGAATGATATTTGGTACCAGATATCAAATACAGCCAATATCAGTCCAAATGACCTGAATTTTGGCACATCTGACCGAATTCAGTCTAGAAGCAAGAACATCAAATTTGGTGAAAATCGGTTCAGTTATAGCTATTGCTCCCAAACATATTTTTCATCCGGTTTGGGATTTAAAGTACCTCACATTTGTAATATGCATTCGGCAACAATGATATTTAGTACCACATATATTAGAGAGCTCGGAAATGCCTTTGCCAAATTTTTTTCTAGATCGGACAAGATTTTGATATAGCTCCCATATATATCCTTAATCCGATTTCAGGCTAATATCAGCCCAAATGGAGTGGTTTTTCGGACGTGCGTTTCCCTTTGATGGAACTCAGCTCCGATATTTATTTTTTTTTTAATATAATCCTTCTCGAAGTGGCATCATTTACTATGTAGCAATGTTAGTTGGTATAAAAATTAAAAATGTCTCCGTCAAATTTAGTGAAAATTGATTCATCATTGGAAATTCCTACCATATATCAGTTCCTTCTGAAATAAAATTATAACTGCTCTAAAGCCAAATGTTGATAGGTGGTATACTTCGATCTACTTCAAAAAAAAAAAAAAAAAAAAAAGTGAGCTCTTCTAAATGTGCATAGTGGTGTAGGGTATAATATAATCGGCCCCGTCCTACTTTTGACTTTTCCTCACTGATTTTCTTTGGGTCTTCTGAAGTCGGTAGTTTACGCGAATACGCCGATGGCGACTCAAGCTTTAAAAGAGGAAATTGGGCGCTGCATTAATGAAATACCGCAAAACGGTCGTTGAACATTTCATTAGAAGTTCGCGTGTGTGTCAGCACAGCCGCAGCGGTCATCTGCATGATATAATCTCATTCTTTCTACTTTACGATGTAATAAAGTTTTCACATTTTTTCAAATATCTGTGTTTATTTAGCATATAAAAATGCGTTCTAGTTAGGACACCCTTTATAAGTTGCCGTCGATTTGGCCAACTGATACATTATTAATTTCTATATCATTTTTTTATACCCTCCACCATGGGTAGGAGGGTATATTAACTTTGTCATTCCGTTTGTAACACCTCTAAATATTCGTCGTAGACCCCATAAAGTATATATACTCATAATCAGCATAAAATTCTAAGAGGATTTAGCGATGTCCGTCTGTCTGTCTGTCTGTCTGTCCGTCTGTCTGTTGAAATCACGATAGAGCCCACATTATTTGACGTAGACCTTTGAAATTTGGCACAAAATGAGATATATCGGTCCACGTTCTGGTATAGTCCCCATATAACGGTACCTCCCGATATTCGGTATTTTGATGATTTATGCCACATTTTTTCACTGATTTGTGTAAAAGTTGGTATTTGTGGGTCATAATGGGTCCTAGTTCGTGTGGCGAAACATTGTAATTATAGGTGCACGTGTTGGTGTAGCCCCTATATAACGGTACCTCCCGATATTCGGCATTTTAATGTTTTTTTGCCACATTTCTTCTAATGTTCTTTTACCCTAGGGTGGAGGGTATTAAAAGTTTGGCCCGGCCGAACTTAATGTTTTTTTACTTGTTTTTTTTTTTAATTTCATTTCGATTTTATTCCATTTAATTTAAATTTTATTCCAATTTTCTCTTCCTTCAATAGGCGCTGGACCCTTAGCCTGTACATCATGTCCTGCTCACTTTATGTTGGATGGTGGCCTTTGCATGGAATGTTTGGGTTCACAATACTACGATTCGCCAACGCAGACATGTAAAACATGTCATGAGTCGTGTCGTTCATGTACAGGTCCCGGCCAGTATTCATGTCAAACTTGTGCCTTCCCACTACATTTGGATCGTTTGAACAATCAGTGTGTACCATGTTGTGCCAATGATGCATCACCGGAGGATCAGTCATGTTGTCACTGTGACAAGGATACAGGTATGAAAACACACACACTGAACTTTAAAGCACGTAAAATGCACAAAGAAATTCTTGGAAAAACAGTTATTCGTGGTGCATTTTAAAGGTTTAAATGAACAAAACTGATTTCCAAAATTTGATTTTTCCTTAAAATCCATATCTTTAGAATTTACCATATTAACATTATTCAATTAAATCTCTTGTATCCCTTTCTGTTTACAGGTGGTTGCATCAATGCCTCTCCCGCTGGCAAACGTCGCATTGCCGCCGCTGCTGAACAGCAACAATTTGGCAGTTCGTACGGCAACAGTGGTGGTCTCTATGGTAACCTGTTAGACGATTCGGATGGATCAACAGGTGTTGGTGGTTTATTCTCACGTGTCGGTTCACCTTTAACAACTATCACAGCAATTGCGGTTGCCGCCTGTCTTCTCATTGTTACAGTATTTGCTGTCATTTTTGCCGTCTTACAGGTTGGTATTAAGTTCTTGTAGTTCCTACATGTATGTAGTTTCTACATGTATGTGTGCTCTCCACACCTCGCTTCCTTGTCAAATACACTCTCCTGGCATGTGTAAACCCCATATGCACACATAACTAGAAGCTTTGGCCGGGTACACCACAAATGGTTGGTTTGTCGAAGAAGTAGAAGAAGGTGAACAGGTTTTGGTGAAAATTTTATATCCAAAGGATTTTGTAGACAAATCAAAATGTGGATTATGGTAAAGTAAAGGTGTTATATGTGTATTCCATGCATTGCATGCATGTGCAGATATGTGTGTAGATATTGCGAATTGTCATTGCTGCATCATTGCATAACCATTCCATATGGGGGATTGTATGAACCAAATCACCCACCGTTTCTGGCTGTTTCACACATCCCCATGAAGTGTGACTACCGTTCATTGGTAAAACTTAACGACATGTCCTTTTGTTGTCCTGCGGCTTTTTCTAGTTGTAATAGAGGTCAAATGGTATTGTGGCATTGTCTTGTGTTGGGATTATTATATCATCCTGTGTTTATAACGACAGGTTTTGCGTGTTATAAGTTGTCAAAGACAAAAATTTGTTGACATTATTATGGGATTTGATATGAAAAGAGACTGGGAATCTATACATCATGTTTAACAAAATTTATAACACGCAAGTTTAACAATTTCTAGAGATTATTATGACAGGTGGACGAAAAAGTGTGTAAGCTCATCGAAAGCTGGTAGATATCTTTAGATTGTAACTGCAGAAATTATTTTATTGTTATTAGAGTCATACCAATTCTTGAAAATATAAAATAATGGATATTATTCTTAATGTGGTGTCGGAAATTGTTCATAAAAGCTCTTGGTAAGAACATGAGGAAACAGGTCATATGTACCCTCAGCATATGACTGTACAGGGCGAGATGAAAAAACTGCAACCAATTTCAGATTGCTGTCATTGATATGCCACTCGTCCGACAGCTGTTAAAATTATTCCAGTGACAGCTCATTATTTGGTTTACAGATGTACAACAGCATTTTAGTGAAAAGTTTCCAGAAACAAAGTTATTCGTGATGGAACTAAAGCGTGATAGTGTGATTTATTTATATTTGGCCGGAAAACCACAAGTGGCTATCGTTAGAGCGCTTCAGCATTTAAATGTGAATAAATCTTTTGTGTTTCGTACCATCGCTCGTTACTGTGGTACTGGTAGCGTAGCCCGACATCAAGGAAGTGGATTGGTTGGTCACCAGAACTCAAGCGCCGGCGATGGTGGTGGTGTGGACCGCCATAAGAGCCGAAGGTCGCTCTCCGCTCTTATTAATCGATCGTGGCATCAGAATAAATGCCGAATATTATCGCGAAAAAAAGTATTCTGGAGGGTGTATTAAAGCCTTGGGCACGCAAACATTTTGGCCGCAGACCTTGGACATTCCAACAGGACTCAGCACCACGCACTCAGCACGCGCCACCCAAGAATGGTTACAAAATGAGATTCCTCGCTTCATCACTAATATCTACGGATACCAATCCGTTGGACTAATGTGTCTGGAGTATTTTAGAAAGCAAGGTTGGTACTAAAAAATACCAAAGTGTCGATCACCTCAAGCAAGCGTTTCGTCGGGAATGGGCCAAAATACCGCAGAGCAACATTCGGGCAGCTTGTGCCGGTTTCATGGGCCGTTTGAAGGCGATAATTCGTGCCAGAGGTGACTAATTCGAACAAATCTAAACTTATTCTAAAATTTGATGCTATTTCCGACATTTTTTGCTTTTATTCATAAAATTCAAAAAAATTTATGGCGTTTGACTTTGTTGCAGTTTTTTATCTGACCCTGTATATTCTTAATTACTATAAATTTCTATGTCGATTTAGCGATGTCCGTCCGTCGGTCTGTCTGTGGAATCACCTACCTCCTGAGCGAAATGAAGTAGTTTGATACAATTTTGATCAGATGTGTTTTGAAAACGGGCTATTTAGGTCTACATTTTGGTATAGGCTCTCCAGATATTCGATTGGTGTCACTGTTTTCACCGGAATTGTTTAAAAATTAGTATTTGGAGTTCGTAATTGATACTAAATCCTATGAGACAAAATTTCCTCTACAGATCTACACATTCATATTTCCACATATAACCATACCTCCCAGTATTCGGTACTTTGATGATTTTTGATCCATTTTTAAACAGAATTATCTCAAACTCGATATTTGGAGTTCATAATAGGCACCACCTTCTCTAGCAGATAATTGAATGTATAGGTCCAAGGATTAGTGTAGGTCCCATATAGCTGAACCTCCAGATATTCAGTATTTTGATTATATGTGTCCCACTTTTCAGCAGAAACGTTTGAAATGTGGTATTTGGTCCTATGATAGAAAATTGGCTATTCAGATATCTAAACACTAGGCCGAGCTGCTATTTTACTTGTTTCAACAAAAAATTGGTCTTTCAATATTTTAGATTTTAGCTTTTGATTTTAGAATTTTTATGTGAAGTTTTTATCCACAGACTTTTTAAGGGCAATATTAAAAAAAATAAAAAAAAAATAAATAAAATTATTTTTCAGACAAGAACAATAAACCCAGACCCTTAAAAAACATTTAACTATATGTGACGAATTTTCAAAATTTGCCTCTTATCTCACATTTGAGTCAAATATTTTATATTTATTATATCGTTATATTTTATATATCGTTTCCTTATATAATTTCTTCAAGGGTAAAACATTTTAGGATCACTAAATGCATGCTGAAACTGACATAAAGTACAACATCGCATTTTTACAACCTAAAACACAACCCTATGAATGCCACATCAACTCTTCAACCCTACCTCGTATTTCTAATCGCAACTGATTTCCATTAATTAATTAATTTAAAGACTTATTTGCAGCCATTAATCACCAGTTACGTGATTTATTTTATTTAACATCTCGTCATTTTTTTTTCCTTCTTTGCATGTCAGAAAAATTAATCGAACCTAAAATCTTACCTGGCAATTAATCGATAAATCACATTAATGTGAAACGTCAATCTTAAATCACCATATAAATTTCTACAAGGCATATTGTCAGGCTACGTATTCTTTTAACAAAAACAACAACAACAAAAATGTTATAAAAAGGAGAAAAGTTTAAAAAAATAAATTTATATTCCATTTTAACGGTAAAATGAAAAAGGCAATCCATTTTTTGTCCTTTTTGTTGCTCTCTTTTAGCCTCATTGACAAAGAAGAAACGAACGACCGAAAAAAATAACGTAGGCCATAAAGGAAACCCCAGCTTTTAGTAAAATCTTCCATAACAATTTTACAATTTCCTTTAAAAAATATCGCCTCAATAACTTCTCATCTTCTATGTGGCTGCAAAAAAAAAGGGATAAAATATGCAAATATGTCCTACGTTCCATATATCCAAATACATCCACACTCAGTCATTTTCAGGCTTCGAAGTAAGTGTGGTATTGGATTCTTCTCATATTCTTTTACATGTTTTTGCCAGCAGACCTTGTGTGTGTGTTTGCATGGGCCAGGGGTTTATGTGCGTGGTAATGGAAGTGACATCAAGTACTAAAGTAATGACAAAAACGTTTCGTAGGCAATTTGTCAAATGGGTGTGTGAGCCAGTTTGAGGCCAGTACACATATGTACATACAAATATATGTGGTACTGTAATGGATCAAGTCGAGGTGGTTTGTAAGGCTGTTCGCATCTGGAAGAAAGGAAGTGGTTGTTTATGTGACACTTCATTTTATTTTAGGGGTTTAAGTGGTCTATTGAGGATGGGTAACTGATACTTCATATGGTATGACACCGAAGCTTTGTTTGCAAAATATCGCAGATTTAGTTCCTCTGACGGTACCTCCCGATTCAAAGTACTTTGGAGGTGAAATGATAGAAAGAAACTTTCTGTGATTTAGGTATTCTCTGCAGATACCCCTTTAAATATTCTTCATATATTTTCAATGTCGATGGTACAAAACAGTTCGACCCGGTCGAATTTAAAGACATTTTTAGTTGTTTCATGATCAAGGTATTTTTTTAGGCATTAGGCCTCTTTGGGCGAAGTCTGTTTTGCAGCATTGAAGTCGATTTGGTCATGTCCGTCTGTCTATCTGGTACGACTGATAACTCTGAAAGGTACCATCCAATTTAGTTCAAATTTAGTATATTGTAATATATTTTTATCAAACTTAGATTAATTTTAGATAAGGGCTATATTGATCCACTCCTTCGAGTACAGACCATTCAAAAGTTAAAAATTTTCAAAAAAAAAAAAAAGCATACTTTAGTGAAAAGCGAAGGAGTTTTTATCATCTGATTAGACCTTTTATGAAAATAGCCAATACCTCTCCATTCCTTCTTAAAGGCATAAAATATGAATTAAGCTTTAGATTTTCCCTTAGTCCATTCCAAAATTTTACACGAATGTACATGATGTTTTTTTGAGCAAGAGAATTTAGCACTTCAGGCATCTTCTTCACAAGCCGTCAAGTTTTTCAAAATAATTCAAACATTATGACTCTCATAAAACGATAATTAATTCACAACTAATAAATGGCTAACGCTAATAAATAACTGGTGGAACGGCTGAATTTTGACATTTTACATGAGGCTCAGTCTTAGTTCGTAGGCGTGTGATAAGGCTAGATTTTTCGAAATTCGCACTAAAAGGGTACGAAAAATAGTAAAATGTACTAAAAATTTAATTATTTGTATTGAACAATGGGAACGAACTAGAATTCTGAGATTTGGATTGAGAGTCACTTATAGAATGCAGAATAGATAAGCAAGAAATATAGAATAAGACATAATTAGGGGAAACTTTACAAAATGACTGAAGCTGGAATTTTGACATTTTTTATTAAAGAGATGGTTTTAGAATTGAGTACTCAAGTGCACGAAAAGTCCTAAATAGTACTATAGTTGGTACAATTTGATTTGGATTAAGAAGACGGTGCTTAAAATCTTATTAGAGTCGTTATACATGTGCAGCCTGAACATATGGCGGTGGTTTTATACAAAAAGTATTGAATAGAACTATATTTGGTATTAGGTTAAGGAAAGAGATACAATTTTGAAATTTGATATTTAGATTACGGATAATATCTGAGGTTGGTGTTTGGAGTTGGGTTTGGCTGTTCGAAAGTACTAAATTAAACTTAAACCAGTAAAGAAAGTCTTAAAGTCGGGCGGGGTCGACTTTATGATACCCTACACCACTTTGCTAATTTAGTAGAGCTCCACATACAATTAAATTTTTTTATGGTAGAATTCAATCATACACGCTATGATTATAATTATACTTTAAAGTTCAAAGGACTAAATATGCCGAAGCATTTTTATCTTTTAAATTCGGAATTGTATTGCCCATTTGGTGCACAATTAATTTGAAATCGGATAAAGATATATATGGGAGCTATATCCAAATCTGAACCGATCTCGATAAAATTTGGCAAAAATATTTCTGAGCTGTATTTGATATATTTCCCTGAATATCGTTGTTACGGAGTGCATATTACGGTTGTGGGTAACAAATATAACAAATCGGATGAATAATATATATGGAAGCTATAGCTATATCTGAACCGATCTTCACCAAATTTGACATACTAGCTTCTAGACTCAATTTGTTCGTAAGTGCCAAATTCCATCCCATTTGGACAAATATTAGACGTTTGGTGCACAATAAAAGGCAAATCGGATGAACAATATATATGGGAGATATATCCAAATCTGAACCGATTTCGATCAAATTTGGCATACATATTTCCAGGCCTAATTTGGGTGTGTATGCAAAATTCCATACAATTCGGTCTGATATTACACGTTTGGTGCACAATAAACGGCAAATCGGACGAAGATTATATGGGAGCTATATCTAAATTTTGACCGATTATCTCCAATTTCAATAGGGTTCGTCCTTGGGCCAAACAAATGTTGCTTGAAAAATTTCATCTGGATCGGGCAATAAATGCGACCTGTACTTTGTTTACAAAAATACATGGACAGACGGACGGACGGACATGCATAAATCGACTCAGAATGTGATTCTATGCAGATCATCAAAAGGAATTATGGGTCTATCTCGTTTCTTTCTGCCTGTTACAAACAAATGCACAAAGACATAATACCCTGACCACCTTGTGGAGTAGGGTATAAAAGCTGTTCGAAAAGTATGAAATTAAACTAAACTTGGTATTGGGTGAAGGGTAGAGCTGAAACCGTGAAATTTTATATTGGGATAACTGCTGGAGTCTACGATTTAGATATGGAACGGTTTTTATGAGTACTAAAATAATACGAAAAATACAAACATTTACTAAATTTGGTATTGAAAATACCGAAAATCGGGAGGTAACGCTATGTGGGTGCTTTTTAGAAGTCACAATGCACAGCCGATTTAATACAGTTTGACATTTCAGACTCTCAGTGAATATATGGCCTCCCACGTACTCAGTTAATAAATTGTCTCACTGGTTGATATTTAAGGTCAGATTTTAAACATTTACATATCCCAAACAAATCTTTATAATTTCTCTTATTAATTTTTTAAGAAGATATTGTTTTTCGTTTTCGTTCCTTGAAAACCCCCTTTTTAAATTATTTTGTTAATTGACCTTTAGTGTATTTCACAAAATTTCCCCAACTTCCCTCGAAAGGATGGTGTTGATTTTCTACGTGATTTTTTCCTTCCTTGGAATAAAAAATATTAAAAACTCCTTTCATCCATTCACAGCCTTTCTACACTTTTCTTTATACGACGGGTGTTCTTTTTTTTGGATTTCGTTTCCATAGTTGTGATTCCTGTGGCTGGCTCCTCTTTTTTTTTTTGGTGGACTCTGTTACGACGGTCCATGTCATTGCAGCCTAAACTGATGGCATATCTAATGAGTTTTTGTTAACAGCGATGACGATGATGGCAACGATGTTGGTAGAAAGAAAAAAAACGACGGGAAATGAAAAAAAAAGGAAAGTTGAAACATAAAAAGGATATAAAAGGGATTTTATTTGCCAACATGATGTTGAGACTAAACGTTTCAAGTATTTGATTTCTGGTCGCTCGTCTTTTCCAGCCGCATCTTTTTATTTTTTCGGAGTCGTTTTATGGATCTGTTTGTCTGCCTGCCTGAATGTCTATCTTTTCGGCTGTATCTTTATGTCTTGGCCCATTAAAAAACTGCTAGAAATCATTTATTTAAATGCTCTCTAAATACGTGTGTGGAGATTTTGTAACCCTTTTTTTTTTTTGCTCCGCCAAACTCTCATGTAACAGACATTTTGGCTGATGTATTTTCTCTTGTCTGTGTCTATTTTTCATGGTTGTCTTACAAACCACATTGTCTTTCAGAAATAAAGAGCTAAAACAATTTAGGGAATTTTAATAGTTTATGGCAGACGCCAGCGGGTTTTTTTATGCCCTCCACCATACATAGTATGGAGGGTATATTAAGTTCGCAATTCCGTTTGTAACTCATCGAAATAATAATTTTAGACATAACAAAGTATATATATTCTTGATCAGCGTAAAATTCTAAGGCGATCGGCCCCTGTCCGTCCGTTCGCCTGTTGTAATCACGCTTGAGTCAATACGAATAAATATAGAAACCTAAAATTTTGCACAGATCAGTCTTTTGTCTGCAGGCAGGTTAAGTTCAAAGATGGGCTATATCGGCAAACGATATTGTATAGCCCCCACATGACACCCCCTCCGGAATTCGGTATTTTGATGATTGGAGCCTACAGTCAAAACGAATAAAGATAGGAAGCTAAAATTTTGCACATATCAGTTTTTTGTCTGCACTCACGGTCGAAGTTCGAATATAGGCTATATCGGTCCACGATATTGTATATCCCCCATATAACGATACCCCTCCATATATTCCGTATTTTTATGATTTTAGCTACATTTTCAATAGAATTGCCTAAAAATCCACACTAGAAGTTCTTTCTGAGCACTTTACCCCCTGGAAGAGAAATATCGATATAGGTCCACGATATCGTATAGGTCAACGGTACCCCCCGATATTCGATATTTCGATGATTTTAGCGACATTAATCACCGGAATTGTTTCAAGTTTCGTATTTAGAATTCCTAATGATTACTACAGCCTATGACAAAAAATTGCGTATGCAGGCCCCGGTACGGTATATTTGGTATTTTGATGATTTTATCGACGTTAATATCCGGAGTTGTTTCAAGTTTCGTATTTAGAATTCTTAAGGGGTACTACATCCTATGACAGAAAATAGCCTGTGCAGGTTCACGTCCTCGTATAGCCCCTATATAACGGTACCTCATGATATTCGGTATTTTGATGATTTTAGCGACATTATTCACCGGAATTGTTTCTAATTTGGTATTTGAATTTCGTAATAGATTCTACAGCCTATGACAGAAAATTGTCTGTGCAGGTCTACGACTTCGTATAGCCCTCATATAACTGTACCTCTCCATATTCGGTATTTTCATGAGTTCAGCAACATTATTCACCGGAATTGTTTCAAATTTCGTATTTAGAATTCTTAATGGGTACTACAGCCTATGACAGAAAATTGTCTATGCAGGTCCAAGTCTTCGTATAGGCCTCGATATATAAGTACTACCCTACATTCGGTATTTTGACGATTTCAGGTACAATAATCACCGTAGTTGTTTCAAGTTTCGTATTTGAAGTTCCTGATAGGTACTACAGGCTGTGACAGAGAATTGTCTATGCAGGTCCAGGTCTTCGTATAGCCCCGATTTTATGATTCTAGTAACATTATTCACCGGATTTTTTAATTTTCGTATTTGAATATTGTAATGGCTTATGACGAAAGTTGCCTTTGCAGGACCACGTCTTCGCATAGACCTCATTAAAAAGGTAACGCCCTATTTTTGGTATTTTTAAGATTTTTACAAAATTTCTAAGGGATAATATTTTTTATTTCTCTTTCTTTTTTTTAAATTTCCAAATTGGTTCCAAATGGTGCAGGATACTCAAAGTTCGTCCCGGCCGAACTTTTTGCTTTTTTTCTTGTTGTTTTTTATTATCTTTAGAAATGTTTTATTTAAGGCAGTGGGGATATTTTTTCATTGGGATTGATGTAATCCGTTTTATTAGACTTTACTTATTTTATATGGCCCGTGATATGATGGATTATTCCTTTTGTATCGTTTAGAAATGTATATTTGTATTTATATCTAAAAAATACGCTTTCGTTAATGGCAGATAAACTAAATTGACAAAGTACGAAATTGAGAATTCTTCATGCCTCTCGCCGAATTTTAAATATTTTTTATGATTTCTTTACATATTAATCAAAAATATATATCTAATGACATGAAACTTTATCTTTTTTTCAATTTCAGCGTTCAAGCAATCAGGCGGCAGCACGTAAAACTATACGCTATAACAAAGTACCCACCAATAATCGCAGAAGAAATCGTATAACTTCCTCTAGTACATTACTTAAAGTCGATGCCGAGGCCAATATCGATGATGAAGACGTCGAAGATGAAGACGACGAAGATGAAGCAGTGGTCGATTATTACGACGAAGAAGAAGAAGATGAGGAAGAAGTCTATGAAAGAGATTTGCAGCAATGCCAAACTCAAACGCCAACTCTTGCTGAAGATGATGATGATGACGGAGATTTAGACGATTTAGAATTATTTGATAAAAATACAAAAATTAACATAGATAGAAAACAACGAAACCAGCAGCGACAAACGATGCCGTCGTCGTCTCAGGGGGAAGAAAATGAACTGCACACATTTGTGAGAGTGCCCCTTAAGAAGACCTCATCATCATCATTGCGTCAAATGTCATCCAGTAGTTCCGAAGATAAAACGCAAAGAACATAGAAATGGGCAATACACTAAAATGCTGCACTGAAAATCCCATACAAAAAACCAAGAACCTGTGAAAACAAAACAAGCAAAATAAGAAAATCATAAATGGAAGAAAATTGATTAATTGTAAATTTTGTAAAAAGAAAATTGTACCTTATTATATAAATGAAAAAAAAAAAACGAAAACAAAAAAAAACAAACAACAAAACAGAAAATCTACAAAAAAACTAATATTAATACGGAAATTGAAAAATTAATTGTAACAGCTCTAAGCTTAAAAAATTAATATAGAATAATTAATAATTTGATTTTTTTTGTTTCTTTTTTTAATAAATAAATAAATTAGCTAATAATCGGTATAATAACAATAATAATTAATAGAGCATTCAATTTAATTTTTTTTGTCCACTTGAATTTTATAACACAAACATGAATATAATTGTTTTTGCAAATCTCAATTATTTTCAAGAATCTAAACATAAAATTTTATTTTTTTGTTTATTACACATTTTATTATTTGATTACAAAAAAAATGATTTTAATATTTCCGAAAACTTTTTGATGTCTTTTTTATTATTGTTTTACATGCAATTTTTTTGTTTAATGTAGTAAAATGTTTCCTTTGCTTTGAATAGTGTCTTATTTTATGTATACATATGTTGAAAAAAATTGTTTTTTGTTTATTTTATAAATTCCCCTCTATTTGTCAATGTTCGAACACGATAGCCACACCCATACACAAACAAACAGCAAATATCATAAAAGGGAAACAATTATATATTTTTTTCTAATTTATAAAACATTTTTCAACAAGCACCCTTGAGGGGTCTTATTATGTTATTTCTATCACACACACATTTATTTGTAGAATTTAATTACTGATGTATCTCTTTATATAAAAACAAAACTCGAATAAAAATTATAATTGGATGAGATAATCTCAAAAGAAAATCATTAAGAAATTGTTTTTATTTTTCTAAAAGACACATTAAAAGACAGAAATTATATTTTTTGTTGGAGTGTGAGTAAAAATCATTTCTTTGGTAAAGTGGAATTTGTGATAACATGGGATTAAATTAAATGTTATAGAGATGTACTGGTTGCGTATTTAAAAAATCTTAAAAATCATAATATGGAGAAATATTACTCGGTCTATACCAAAGCCTGGACTATATAAAGTCAAATGACTTAAGTTAAAGAGTTTAGTACCCATCAAAAACTGAAAAAGTGTTCCCTTCTATCTGAATTGAAAAGGAGTTCCTTCTGAGAAGGAGTTACCTCCTGGAAGAGTATTTTCTATAAAAGTCCACGATATATCCCCCATATAACGGCACTTTCCTATATTGGGTATTTTGATGATTTTAGCTAAACTTTTCAACTGAATTGTCTAAAATCCATACTAGATGTTCTTTCTAAGCACTTTACCCCCTGGAAGAGAAATGTCGATATAGATCCACGATATCGTATAGCCTACATACAACGGCACCCCCCGGCATTCAATTTTTTGACAATTTTAGAGGCATTATTCACCGGAGTTTTTTCAAGTTTCGTACTCAGAATTCTTAATGGGTACTACAGCCTATGAGAAAAAATTGCATATACAGGTCCACGTCTTCGTATAGCCTCCATACAACGGTAGCTCCAAATATTTGGTATTTTGAGGATTTAAGCGACATTATTCACCAGAGTTGTTTCAAATTCTTCTTCTGGATTTACAACAGACATTGCCAATTCGACTTTGCTGGTCCATCATGTAGGAGTGTGGTGCTTACTAAATGTCATCACTTGTGTGAGCATTTTCGGCAGACATGAATGATCTGAAAAATAAATAATGAAGCATACTTTTAGGCAGTTATTATTTATAAATTGTTAAAGGTATCAGTAGATCGATTCTGAAGCTTTTATTGATCGGTCGTTCAACAAATTTGCCTACGCTTCAAATTGTTTATCCATTGTGTTATTCTGTAAATATTGAGACAAAATGTCGATAGCTTTTCAAAACATTGTGCTTGTGGTTATTTCAACAAAATTGAAAAAAAAAAAAAACAAATTCAGTATTGTTGAATGTTTGACGCCAAGATAACGATGCATTTTATGTTCTGTTATTATTACAATGATATCTGTAATAAAATTTGTTGTGTGACATTACATTCCAAATGAGCTCTTTTTAAATTTTTTTGCAAACAAATGTTATTTCATTCCATTAAACTTACAAATATATAGGTAATTTCCTGCAACAATTTCTGAGAGAGTGAGAGTAGCAAGAAGACTGCCAAAAAATAAACATATGCCCCCCTGAACAATTCTCCAAGCCATCGGCTGTTTTGTCGAAGCAAAACAATATTTTGAATTGTTTTTAACAGCGTTACCTATAACCGGACGTACTTAGTTGATGCTTTTCACCATATAAGTAAAACACATGTTTTTCGGGCGTACAAAATTTCAAAGTTGAATATTTGCAACATTGACAATAGAACAATTTATTTATTTATATATATTTTTTTTAATAGGAGTGGATGAAAAAAAATGAATGTTTGTAATTGGAAATTTGAAAATGATCCACTTTTACAACGTTTTTAGTTGGTAGATATTGAGATATGGTCCTGGCGTGTTTTTGTAAAACATCCGTACAAAAAATTCTACCATAGTGGGGAAGTTGAAAATTTGTGTACTTTATCTCGAATTTTAAGTAATGCCATAATATTAAAGAAGATGACATAAAAATGAGAAAATAAATAAAAATAATTTAAGAAAACCGGCACAGGATATAGGTGTATTCTCTTCAGCGATTTTTAATGGTGAATTCTCCGTTACGCTCATACAATCGCTCTCAATTTGGTTATGCACATCATTGTTATTATATATCAGATTACGATTATTCATCTTCTTTAAATTACTCTTTTGTTGTAGGAGCGATACCCGGATTTTTGAACTAAATGTAAGAGTTCAAGAACCGGGTCTATGCCTGGATCTAGATAACCGATAAGGACACTAAATATATTAACAAAAAGCTTTGCACATTCAACAAGTGGTCACAAAACAGGTTCATTTCAATTGTTTGAAGAGCTCTGTTACAATACGAGCAAATTTTTTCTACGATAAACAAATTTCCCTTTATGATATCTAAAAAAATGCAAAAATAGTAGATTCTGGCAGATTCTGGAACAGAGCAATTTTTTTCCTCGATCTATATATATATATATATATATATATATATATATATATATATATATATATATATATATATATATATATATATATATATATATATATATATATATATATATATATATATATATATATAAGTAGCGTAAACATTGCAACATTGTAATTAGGAATTTCGAAACAGACATGGGTAAATATATAATATAATTTGTTTTCAAAAATAAGTACATATGTTTACATATATTTTTCAACCATTTCAACGAATTTGAATAATTTTTCATTCAAAGTTTTCAATTTCAAAATTGGTTTGATAGTTCATTGGCCAGCAGCTGAGTCGATGCGACTACCTGAATTCTTCTACCAAGCTTGATACAGTTTGATAATGGTTTTAACACCAAAAATGTGTCAAATAAATACGTGTAAGGTGAACACAAGTTTACCTATGAATGAATATGTAATTTTGTTGAGTGGATATTGTAAAACTAGTTTGAATTAAATACCTGTTCGCTCTGTGTGATCCTACCTATAGCTTTTCTTTTCTGTATTTTGATAAAAAAAGAGGAGGCACCCTGTTAATATAGTTCTTAAAATTCCTCCTGAAAGTATGCTACAAATATGTTGCATTAAGTACGGATTTCCTCCTAACAAAAAGTTCAACACAAATTAGAATGGGGTTGATGCTTATTATTTGGAATCAAGTGGTCTTTGTTAACGTCAAAAGGGGTTACTTTAATTTTATTATTAATTTTTATTACATAATAACAGAAAAATTGTTTTGCTTAATTTTTGCTATAAAAATTTTCAGAACAGTGTTTGGCTTGCTTGTTTGGGATACCATAGTATTTTGTTGTTGCAAAATCGTCAGGCAAAATCCCATTATTGTTGTTTTTTTATAAAAACAACGTTTCGTTTAACTGAATTTACGAATTCAAATAAATACTTAGACATTTTGTAATATAGTTGTAAAATACAATAGTTATAAATACAATAATAATCAAACGTAAGTGTAGTTAGACAAGTTTAAACTTATTAATGTTTTATTAACACAATATTATGTACAAATATATATTTGTAAATAAAGTTCGGTTAAAATTTGGCTAAGCACAATATATATATAGAAATAATTAGATAAGATTTTAATACGCAAATTCCAATAACAAGATACAACAAGAATTACAAATTCACTTAATTTGTGTTAAATGCTATATTAAATATTGATTATGAAGTACATTTTTATTTACACATATTCAGAATTTTTATTGCTACTCTGAAATACATGTTTAAAATGCTATTTTTAATTTTAATTAGAAATTTTAGTTTGAAGTGAACCTATTTCATAGTTAATATTCTTAAGACTTTTTTTTTTTAAATTTGAACTTTATGAATTATTACTTTCTGTATTGAGTTTTTATTCAAGCCACGTTTCAATTAGGACTTGTTTACACAACTCAAAATTTAATTTTTGTATTTTTTTGGATCATACACAATTTTTCCCAATATTGTATTTCTCATGGTATATATATTGCTGATTATTTTTTAATAATTAATTCACATATATATTTCATGTATTTATTATTAATTATTTTTTAAAAAGACCCCTATATTTGTTTAATATTAATATGAAGCTCGAATTACTCTATACAAAAAAACTTCCCTTTATATATTTAAAAAATAAACCAATAACTATATATATACAAAACTACCAACACAAAGAAAACATCAAAAACCAATTACATTTTTAAGCTTTAAATATAATTAATTATAAAAAACGAACTCCAAATATAACAATGTAACAATTTTTAATGGTTAATAATTAAAAATTATACAAACTATAAAAATAATAAACAAAAACAACTGAAAAAAATACATCAACAAATTTGAATAGTGGCCGGACCGATAAATGTGTAAACAAGAATTAAAAGGACAACCGCAACAACGGCAGCACAACAACACGCAATTGGTGTTGGTTTTGTACAAATAGAAAGAAAAAAAAAAAAAAACATACAAAAAATTAAATAACAAAAAAAAATCATTGTAACAAAATTACAACAAATGTTTATAAAAGAGAGAGACAACATCAGTCATATTCACTGATATGTACATCAAAGAAATAAAAATAATAAAAACAAACAAAAATTATTACAAACAAATAATTAAACCGCATTTTTTAATTGAAACGACTCAATACTTGAGTTTTGTGGGCAATCATTGTAATTTGTGGTGAATGATAGGGAAATGGTTAGTTTGAATATAAAACAAATTGTAGAGTATTAGTCGGTTTAGTGGACAGATGTATACCCTCAGCCCATGTTTGATTATTTAAATATATTTTGACTTCTGTTATGATTATTTAAATCGTTGACCCTCTATGGAGCAGGTTCCAAAGAATTGGGCCAATATTGTCAATTTCGTATCGGACCGAAATAAATATGATATAAATATTGCAACATGTCAGGTTTGGACTATATTGGTTACTTCCTTCACTTTATATGAGAAATGTAGAATTTTTTAGAAAATGTTAAAATGTGCCTGAGGTACCAGATATAGTCGTCCGAAGCATTCCATTTAATACTTCATCTGATACAAATAAAATATTCGTATGGGCAAAATTATAAGAAAATCGAACATTTGTATCCAATTTTATCCGAAATCATAAATTCCATATTCATCTCAGAATTCTGGCTGAGAGAAATATTAAGATATAGCAAGTTGCAAGTGATATGATTATGACCGATAAAAGTATTGAGCATTATAACCCTTGGTGGGTGAGGTACCAGAAGGCATAC